CCCCCTCGGAAACGCGAGGCCCTGCTGTGAATGCGTGCTTCCATCTCAAAGAATGCGATGGGAGTTTGGCCAAGGCCGCTACAAATTCCTCCAATCAACAAAGCTCCTTGATCAGCTTGTGTGTGGTGGTGGTGTGTAAGGCGCACAACATCTCACTCCACCCGTCCGACCACGCAAGAGCGAGAGGAGCAACCAAACGCCCGCAGCGCACTTGTCATCACGTGATGTAGAAAGCTGCATGGACGTGCAGCACCAGCAGAGCTTCGCGCAAAATCTGCAAAGACCGCTGCGCGGCTGAGAAAGTCGAGAATTTGACGGCGCTTGCGTGTTAGGCCCATCAGCAGCCGTGAGTCTGAGCGGCATGGGGCGCAATATAACTGCATTGAAACTGGGATTTCATCTTTCGAAATCCCGAATTCAAGATTTGATAGCGTGCGCGCGAATTTGAATGACGTCGACTCGCTTGCTCTGCATGGCTCGTGATGACTGTTTGACTCGCGTGAGGGGGGAGGATCACGACGATGCAGGTTAGCCATCCATCCTCACGTCGTCTACAGCTCTGCTACACCACCGCCATCATAGGATCCCGACACAAGACGCAGTGGCGCCGGAAAGCTCGATACGTCATACAGCATTCGGAGTCTCCTCCTGCTGCATCGAATTCGTTCCATCCATTCAAACAAGGAGCGAGCAAAAAGTTTTCATCATGCCCAAGGTGCGTGTGGATGGTCAGCAGTCAGTGAGGTGATGGAGAGAAGGGTCTGAAAGTGGAAGGGTAGATGGGCCAAGCTAGGAGACTGGCAGAGATGGAGTCGTGAATGCGATGAAAGCACGGGTGATGAGTTGCGCTGTGTAGGAGCGGAAGAAGTCTACGGGACGGGATGTGGTGCCCTTCCATTTGCGTTGTCAGGCTTTCTCGCTCGAGAGCTGTGCAAGGGACACTACAACTGCCTTCGTCTTCCTGACACTAGCGGGCCGCTGACTCTCGGCTTTGGTGCGCTGACACGATCTTATACCCCTCTTTGCCTGTACATGCTAACGCAACCCCAACCATCCCACCGCCTCGCCACTTCCATCTAACACCTATGGCACGATCTCGCCTTGCCCGTCTGGGCGATCACTTAGAACAAGGGAAAGGGAGGAAAGAACCGTAGACGTGGAAAGAACGAGAACGAGGGAGAGAAGAGGGAGTTGGTATTCAAGGATGAAGGTCAAGGTGAGTTCTTCACCGCAAGGGAAGGAAAGGGTGGAGAGGTGCGAAAATTCAGCGCGGCGAGGCCAATCATTCCGCCTGGCGGGCGGATGAATGCCTGTGCCGCAGAGACTTGACTCCACCGTCGCATAGAGACTCATGAGATTGACTTCTGACTCACGCGCTGGTGCTCGCTTCATTCACGCC